CTTGGGTGTCTGCCGTTGTCCATTTAGTATTGGAACTTCTCATTATTTGAGAAGGAGAACAAGGAATTCGTTTCCAGATCACCAGCTGCAGGTATTAGAGAATGATACGAGTGCCCTGATCATGAATATGACATCAATCTTTATCCGATAGCTTCAATTAGCGCCTTTTCGGAGCGCCATTTGGCGTCTTTTTGGCACTACAACTTTTTTTCCGCTAGATTCCGGCAATAGTTTGAGTGCAGTACTCATTCATGGTCTTGATAATGAACATACGGAATACATCAATATATGGAAGTGGCTCAGGCGTAATATTAAGCGAGATTTTCGAATGGCTGCAGTACTAGAAGTGCAAGAAGATTTGTGTCATCAAGAGGGGATATGAACCTGGAAACCATTTCTTCATCTACCCATAATATTTTAAAACCTTGCAGGGGGCCGCTCAGCCGACAAATGACAAGATAAGTACTAAGATAAATACACCCGTGAGAGCAACATCACTTAACCAGACATACGCAAAGGAACCCCCGAGTTTTAAAAAAGACGCTCGCAGACAACTCACTGAAACAGACATCACCTTAATGTAAGCAGAATCAAAACACAGAACTGAACATAGAGTTGCGAGCATCGTAGTAAATCGTAAAACAGAAGAAACAAGCGAACGCACAAGCAATATTTACCAACCAACTAACGATTTATAAAATAAATAGGAACTGGCCAAACATTTGATTGTTAAAATTATTTATAGACACCCTGCAGATATAGCTGATTCCAGGTACTTTATGAGTAGCAGATCGTTTCAGCAAGTTCTCAAGCGAGCAGAAAAGTTCCTGAAGGCCAAGCCGCTCCGGCTCAGGAAATCGTGGCATCGACTGGAGCCGTTAGCGAAGTTGTGAAAGTAGAAGAAATTCAACACCTATCAGGGGGTGAGGAAAACACTGCTGAATCTGCAACACCACCACAAATCGTATCCCAGGCTGCACCGCCAACTGAAATGGTAGCAGCTCAGGAAATTGTGACATCAGTCGCAAGCGACTCAGAAGTGGTAACAGCTCGAGAAATTTCGCCACCAGTTGAAACCGTAATTTTGTTGTCGCAACAGCTCGAGCAATCGGAGAAGCAGTGAAGCGACTGATTGAGCCGGTAACACCACAACCCGAACTTCCAGTTGAAGAAGTTGTCCAGGTACAACCAGCAGAAAATTCGCCCCACCAGGAATCGAGAAGTCGCGAAAAGAGTACACGAAACCGGAAGCTGCGTCAAAGATCAAGAACGCTGTGGGCGTTTTATCATTTGAGACCTTGAAGGCACGGGTCGCGATCCATGCTCAGTAGGAATTCCCGTCCTTGAGTGACAAAACAGAACTCCTTACACAGGTTGGTGTTCTGCGCAACACTTTCGCGTAACCGCTGCGGCCGCTGCCACCCTTGTCAATCGCAGCGCACGTAGCGTCTCTGCGCTCTCGCGTTTTCCCTCTCCCCGCAGCGCTGTTTCTCTCCGTTGTACCACGACCGACCTCACAGGACAAATCTCAGCGTTCTCTACGGTGTTTTTTTGCCTTCCCATCTACCAACGTTCCTCTTCGCACTTTTGTCCAATTTTCGGACAAGCCGATCGCAACCCGTGTCTTCAACCATTTCCAGCTGCAAATTCAATCCCATATGCAACCTATTCAAATGAATAAATTCCTGTAATATGATAGACTAACAGGCAGGGTCAACCGTCCGTTGGACAAAGTCCAACGCGACGACGAGAGTAATGCCGAGAGTGAACGTACGCACGGAGACACAGACGGCTCGCGGGTGGCGAGAGTGAATGCCGGCGCGGAGAGCGGTGAACATCGGTCCAACGTCGCTCCAATATCGGTCCAACGTAACGGTTGACCCTGCTACACTGTATTCAGAACTTCACTAGTGTCTGTAATGGAAGTAGTAGGTGGTGGCGTCCCAATCTGCAGCAGTGACCGCGGAGGCAAAAAGGAAGGTATCTGGAGGCAGTGAGGAAAGATTGACCTCCCTCTACTATAAACCAACCACAAACGTGGTGTGTTTGTCCGTCTGTTTGTTAGTCAGTAAAATGAGCGGATAGATAACTGATAACTTGCATATTTTGAGTATTGGGGACCGTGAAATTACAGGGATATAGCATCTTATCGCGTGTGATTTCTGGTAGTCGAAAGGCAAACCGGGATCAAACTGGTGCTAAGAGCGCTTCGTAGTGATAGCTTAGCTGCGGAACGACCTGAAAGTGGAGAGTAAAGCAAGAGAACTCTTCGAGAACGCGAAAATTAAGGCCTCCACCCCCAATAAGGTCGGATGTGGTACGATGACGAAAAGAAGACAAAACACGCGAGAGATCACGCCGTTCGAGAAAGCACGCCGATCTCTACATCAACAGAGACGGGTGGGAAGCTTTGCAGCGAGGGTTGCTGACCCGTAAGGATTAGCGCCCTAACCACGCAATTTTCGCGACGAAGGTGAAGTGATCTGGGTAGGTACGGGTCCTTACAATTTCTCTCGCGGTATCCTTCCTACTAGTCGGGCTAATCCCGGGGTTTGCCTTTAAGGCAAATCCGCGATATCAGGGTGTGTATAGCTTTTCCGAATAAGAAACGACATGTGTACGTAGTGAGAGCGTTGTAAGAAGGAAGAAAGCAAAATAAACATAGAATACAAAGAGACAAGAGAGCATGTAGACGAATGAGACGACAGACAGCTTATACGTAAACTTTTGGGGCGGAGCTGGACTCAGTGAGTCTACGATACTGGCGTCATCCTCAACACTTGCTTTCGCGTAATAAATTCGTCCGACAGTCTCTCATGGAGAAATTGTACCACACAGAAATGTGGAACTCGTGGAATGTGCCTTGAACTTACAACCTTATAGAAGTGGAGAACAAGCTTCTTTTTCTAGCAATCACCGAAAGTAGAAGCAAAGGAAGAGACAGCTAAGGCACAGACACCTCCCACTCCAGTCAAAACGCCAAAGAGAATTCTGAGTAGGCGTCAAAGATTGAAGGATCTCAAACAAGCAAAGGCTGGGACTCCAAAACTGCAACCAGCGAAAGCGAGTTTTTCTACTTCAGTTATTTGGCATAACATCGCCAGTGTCGGTGGGGTGGAAATGGCGTCAGGGTACTCCATTGTGTTCTGCGTCTCCGAAGATCCTCTAGCGTGAAGCACAAGAACTTTGATAAGGCGCTCACACGAAGTAGTAACTTTTGATAAGAACCGATGAGGTCTGTTGAACCCAAAATATTCAACCCGATTTTTCGCATGAGATTAACTGCTCAACCCACTTTGGTGCTCATCCTTGCCCCACTGCTTCTCCCAGTCCTAGGCAAAAGTTTTTTTTCTCTTGACCCTTAGAGTTCGCTTCTCTCCTCCATTCCAACCAGACTTAACCGGTCCTTATCGAGACCGGCTACACCTTTAATGGGAGTGTTACCAAAGCTTTTTCCTAGCCGCTATAAACGCCCTTATCTTGATTCTTATTGCTGAGTAGCGGAGCACAATGGAGTACCCTCTCCCCCCCCCCAACTCCACTGCTGATAATTTCCTTCTGAACAACCATAGTTTAGCGTATCCTCTCTGATCCTATAGTAACTCCACGTACAGACGAGTATCCAACGGACGATGCTGAGACGGAAAAAGCGAAAATCGCCGAAGCACAAAAGGTCATAAAAAGTCATTTCTTGAGGGAGTTTTGTTCTGTTAAAAAACCATAGTATGTGATGAACATCGATAAGATTTTCAGAAACCGACCGAAAAGGCTCCTGCTAGTCCACTGGTTAAACAACCTAAGGAAGAGGTAAAGGCTGAGGTCAAGGAGACGAAGCCACCATGTGCTGTAGCAAAACTGCAAGCGCAGTTGGAGAGAGCTTGCGAAGGGGAAGCCTGCTGCTACTCCTGAAAGCAAACCTCAAAAAGCAGGAACGCCAAAGCAAAAAGCGGGCGTGAGTTTTACAGATTTCGAGATGAAAATAATGTACTAACCAGGCCTCTTTGTAGAGACGCGTGTCGGATCCAATTGTCACACCAGTTTCCGACGAGTACCCTACCGAAGACTTGCATGGCGATTGGATAGCTCCAGCAGTAATAGACACCCGAGACAAGGTGCACCGCAAGGACAACTATGAAAAAGGCGGCGATGCTAACTCAGTGAGTCACTGATAGTTACCTAGGTAAATGTGTTACCCAAGACATTACGGAGTTCACGATGAAAAGACAGCTCATTAAAAATCGAGGTAGAGGTCGTCAGTAGTGTGGGGATGAAGAAAAACCTTTGAAACGGCCCAGAACCCGGGAAATGGACGCCTTTCCCGTTGTTCCGCATTGATGCGACTTTCATCAGTGCAAACATCCGAGAGTTTCCGCTGGATGGTAAGCTTTGTTAAACGCTTTGGTTGTGTTAGAGGAAGTTCGTAGGGAGTAGAGGAGGTGGTTTCCTCAAGAGTTCAAGTGAAACAGGACTTGGAATGGCCAGAACATCAGTAGTCAGTGGCTGTTTCAGATGGTATCAATATTTTCCGCATTTTACAGTGTACAAAGTTAGAGATGATGTTCTGAGGCTTCGTTTCTCTACTGAATGG